TGGTCTTGGATTGTATCCGACCATCGATAAATAAAATTCATCAACATGGCTTTCGCCCTGGTTGTTCCATCATTACCTGTAATTTAGTCTTTAACAACTATTTATACCAATCTTTTAATTTGAAAACATAGGTAGATACTATTTATACGAATTTCAACAAGGTATTTGATTCAGTTAATCACAATGCCCTAATCCAGGTCCTTAACTTATCCGGAACCGGTGAACCTTTCCTGTTCTGGTTTTCGTCTTACCTCTCTTGCCGTTTCTAATGGGTCAAATTGCTTGGAGTAAAATCTAATGTCTATCTTGCTACGTCCGGTGTTCTTCAATGAGGTCACTTATCTCCGCTCCTGTTTTCTCTATTCATTAACAGTGTATCAAGTGTACTTTGCAATAGCCAGATTTTATGTTTTGCAGATAATATTAAGCTCTACTTTCGTAGAGACCAAAGTTTAATATCATCCTAAATATATCTTCCTTAGATGACTGTATTTTATTACAGAGTGATTTTGATCGGTTCACGGAGTGGTTTAATTTACTAGAGCTATCCCTTAATGCATCTAAATGTAAGACCATAACTTTTGCCAATATTCATTTATCTATCAAATTATGTTCTAGTGACTTTGTAACTGATCTAGGATTTATTCTTAGTAGTGATCTTGATCTTATACCCCACATTGAGTATATTTGTTGTAAGGCCTTTAAAACTCTGGGGTTTGTGTTAAAATTATGTAGGGATTTTCTGTTATGTCTATCATACAAGCTGTTTTATGGTGCACTTGTTCGCCCTATTTATTGAGTATGGTGCCGTAATTTAGGATTCGCATGATCTCAATGACTCTCTTAGACTTGAAAGGGTTCAGTGTAAATTTATGAAATATGCCAGTTTTATATTGAATATTCCTTGTGAACTCCACAACCATGGACCAGTTGCTTCTCAACTAGGGCTGGTTTTGCTGGCTGAGCGTAGACGGATCTCGGGTATTAATCTCCTAAATAGTTTATAACAAGGTAATATTGACTCTCCCTATTTGCTTTCCTTTATTTGTTTTAGAGTTCCTCAACGTCGTTCCCGATCTGTTGCTCCTTTTTATGTTCCTTTCGCCTCCACTAATTACCTAAAAATTAACTTATTACACGTATGATGTCAAATACCAACGTTGATCCTTCATTTTTTCTTTGCCTATAATTAACTATATAGCTGTTAATTTATTATTTGTCATAATTGTACAATTAACGTATTATTGATATGTATAATGTGTATATATGTTCAAAGGGTTTATCACGTATATTTAATAAAAATAAAAAAAATAAGGGAGGATTTGGGATCAAGGATAGGAGAGAATTCTTCTAAGTATGGGACGTAAAGGGGATCAACTTTACTACAAAATGAATCAAACCATGATTCGTTTAAAGAGTGAGAAGTTTTATATAGTCACTTTTTAAATTATTTAGCAATAGATACTGGACCGGCTAATAAAGAATTAGGCGAGGAACAGAAGTAACGCTAGGATATAATTATCAGCTGTTTAACTATTTTTAAATATTTACGTGTACCCTTTAGTACTCAAAAAAGTCACTTAATAGACCAGAGATCTATATTTATTAAAGCCTTTAGTGTACTCATTGATGACGTAGGTACAGGAGGGAGACCACTATATTAAAGAAGAGCGAAAGGACTTTTTGGTATTTTTAAATAAGGGAATGGATAATTTTGCGGTTCTAATAATTGTACATTCAAACCAATTGTAGTCCGTAATGGGCGAGGTGGAGGAAAAATTAGAGGTGAAAATGGCCATGTAATTTTAAAAAGATGATCAATCAGCTTTCAAATAATTAAATCTGTGAATGATAGTTAGGAGCGTGAGGGAATGAGAGAATTTGAAAAGATAGGAGAAAATGTTATCAATTTAATTTATGGAGGGTTGGAAGGAGGGAAATGTAAATAGACCAAATGGCAATGGGAATAAATAAATTATTCAACTCCTCGATACCGACAAGATTTATAGAATTATTAAGGAACGAGATTTTTATTACAGGATCTATAGAAATAAGGTTATGTGGCTATTAGTTAATGAAAATTTGATAGTTGATTGTAGTTTTAAAAGAGAGAAAATTAATTTAGGAACGCGCGTGTAGCGATATGTTCCGATAAGCAGGAAATTGAGTTGTGGTCTTCCAAATTTATACTGCGATTTTGAAACATATATTTCAAAAAAACTGCCATTAGGTGAAAATGACCTAGAACGCTCATTCGTTAAAGAAAGAAAGCAAAGAGAGAGGATTGCGTTAATTAAATTTTTCTTATTATGTATTATGTATTGGCAGAAAGAAAAAAGGAAAGAAAGGAAAGAGAAGCTACGACATCAGTATTAGATAAATTTGTATTTATTGTAACATTAGAAAAGGTAAATGCTTTATTAACTAATTTGGAACGTTTGATCGAGGACGTTTCAGTAATGAAACATTGTATTTTGCCATTATTTTTTTATTGTCCTTTTTTACATAATACTCATTACAAGATCTATCCGTCGCAGGATGGTTAAGTTTTGAATATTTGCATAAAAGTAATCGACTTGAGATTACAATTAGATTCAGAGTGATCAAAGGGACCGCATTATCTGCAGCGCTTCTTACTGCGATGAAACTTGAGTGTGTGACTAAGTTGTAAACACTTTCGACATTGGAAAGGGAAACGAATACTCGGAGAAACTTCAAAAATAACATTATACATTAATAATTTTAAAGGAAGCGTTGTTGACAAAAATTTAAGTTAAGTTAAATTTGAAGAAACGAGGTTATTATCATTTTATATATATATATATATATATATATCTTAATGAAACAACGTTGACAGAAGTTCATGACCTACCCAAAAGTCTTCTTCAGATATATTCTGCCTAGAAATATTATTCCCATACTATATACATAGTGTTAGTAAATTCAATGTCACGAGTAGTAGGGTGATATTCAGTAGGACCTAAAAATAGCGAAATCAAAAACTACCACATCCTATCTCCGACATTGGAGTTTTTCTGGTTCCCCTACTTCAAATTTTAATTTAATCAAAAATAAATATTATTACTGTATTTCCCACAAAATTCTCATAGAAATTGAGTGGTCACTCGATTTTTTATAACTTTTAAATTTACATTTTTTCATTTACAAAACCACCCACTGTTTAAGCATTTATTTTAAGTTTTTTGTTATAAAAATTTAAGTAAACTAATCTTATAAACTGTATTTTTTTTTTTTTTTATTTAATATTATTATGAACTAAATTCCATCATATTTTAAATATTACCATATTTTTAAAGACAGTATATCAAGATAAAAAATACCACAAGTTTATCCGTTCCACTATTAAAATACTAAAACACAATACGACTATTTTTGGCTTTATTTTTCTTTTCTGTATAATATTTGATCATTTGGTTGCGATAATCAACTGCTCAACACAAAACGACAATAGTAACATATTTATTTTATCAATAGCTAGCCGTCGTATAATTTGATCGAGTTTATATTATTAAAAAATATTCGTAATTTAATGAAATATTTAATATGTGTACATAGTTTTTAAATTAATTGTTCAAAGTGTCATCCACCAACTTCGATACAAGTGTTTAATAGTCGCTGTAATGATTTCCAAACTCGATCTAACATTTCCGATCTTTCCCTTATTTTGTTTGCTGTACTATTTATTCTTATTAGTAATTGGCCTCGATTTGAAATTCAAGTGCGTAGACGTCCTCTTTTAAAACTTTGAACCCAAAGATTTAGGGGAGGCCACGAAAGTTATAAAAAATCGAGTGACCACTCAATTTCTATGAGAATTTTGTGGGAAATACCGTGATAATACTTATTTTTGATTAAATTAAAATTTGAAGTGGGGGAACCAGAAAAACCCCAATTTCGGAGATAGGAAATTGTAGTTTTTGATTCCGCTATTTTTAGGTCCTACTGAATATCACCCTACTACTCATGACATTGAATTTACTAACACCCTGTAGTAAAGTGCTAGAAATACTCGCAAAATAGCCGTGTTTAATAAGAGAGGGGGATGTGGGACTTTTGTTGGCGTTAACAATCAAATCAAACGTAATTTCAACTCTCTTAGAACTGATAGGGTTGATGTTAGAAATTTCAATAAATAGTTTGGAGAAAGTTTTGCGAGCTTGACTGCGTAAAAATTTCCTAAGATATTATAGTCAGAAGCAGAAACAATTACATTAAAGGAATCAGTTTAGTGTAATGGAAAACATTCAGGAACATTGGGTGGCTTGACTGATGACATGCTAGGAGCAGAATCGTCAAAGAAAGAGTTTGTGTTTGAATTTGGCGAACCGGATGATGTCACAACGATGCCTTAAGGTGAGTTGCAATCCATATTGCTAGTTTGAGGTCGGGAGTCATTAGAAATTGTTTTACAGGGGGATTTAATTTTTTTGTGTGAAGGGCTAATTAAAGATTTAGAACTTTGATTGCTCTTACGCAAATTATCCGTCGATATTTGTGAGTTAGAAGTTTGCAATGTGCTTCTACGGCGCTGACAGCGACTATTAAAAACTTGTATCTCCAGGAGAGTGTTGTTAATCATCTCCTCTAGAATTAGGTCTCGGTTTCTTCCAGAGCCCTGGCGTTCATCGTAAATGTACCGAAAATGCGAAACACTAGTTTCAAAACTGATAAAAACACCGAATAAACACTCAAAAAGATATTACTCTAAAAATAGGCGGGTAACTACAAACGTATCATAACTGTTTTTTTAATGATACCCTATATATTTATATAACTTATAAAATAGGAAATTATCAAATTAAGACTGTTAGATAACAACTTTTAAGCCAGTACTTCGAGTGTTATTAACATTTTTATACCTAGGTTAGAGTAGAGGAATGTTTAATCATAAATATAGTTATTTAACCTCCGATTTTTAATAATATGTAATGCCATATATTTTCATTTATATGTAGTGATATATGTAAATTATAACTTACATTAGAAATATCGTAGTCAGGATTTGTAATGTCGTGTGTCTGAAAACATTTATTTTAAATAATCATCTAAGCTTGATAGTCAAGTTGACAAGTTCTACTATGTTATTTCAACAACAAAAGATAAAAATAGTCCGTTTGTTAATTTTTAAACTATTTAATAAAATTAATATTTAAAATAAAATAGAATAATGAAAGAGTTTATGTAAAGAAGGACTCGTGCACAAAAAACTTGATTAAAAAACGATTAATAATAATTTAAAATGACTACTATCTATTTATTTTATAACTATTGTAAAATAAATACATAGACTTTGAGATTAAAAAAATTATATAGTTACTAAACATTAATATTTTATCTTTAGAAGAAAAATAATATACTTAAAAAATTTCGGTTGGGTTTGGTTATAATTACTTTTATATTACTATTAGTAAATATCACATAAACCAATTTAGTTAAATTAATGCTAGTATCTGTAGATTTGCAAATATATCATAGATGGTAAAAATTTTGGGAGGGCTAAAAATAATAGAGCCTTCTTACAGTTTTTTTCATACTAAGAATTTTACAAAAAAAACGGATATTTAAAAAAATTTTTAAAAATATTTATCAATTAGTCTTAAAAATAACAAAATGTAATATACCAAAAAAAAAGTAAATAAAATGATAAATGGATAAATACATAAAAATAAATAGTTTAATAAATATAAATTCGTTTAAGGAAAAAAAATGGATGCGAAATATACCAATAATAATAATAATATATATATATATATATATATTATAGGCCCTATATAGTCAATTATGTCGTATAAGAAAGTAATAAAGCAAAATTTGATATATATTTAATATATACAGAACCTTAATTGTAGAATTTATAATTGCCTTAAAAAAAGGTGTTTAAACAATTTTTCATATAACAATTATACTTTGAGAAAAATCATAAAATATAATACATTTCCAAAATTTAGCATGGCTTTTTTAGTTATTGTAATATATTAACAAAGTGGTTGTAGGTGCATACAATTTTACATATAAAAATGGTTCTAATAATATTTTTTAAGAACACTATAATAAAAACATTGGATCTATTATTTATTAGTTCAGTTGAATTTAAGATTTTTAAGATTATAAATTATAGACATAATCAATGTGTATTTTTACAAATACTATATTTATTATTATATGTACGTAATTTACTATGGTTATTCGTTAATGATTGAATGGTTAACATAATTTTTGTGTAGTAATACGTAACGATAAAAGTTATCATTCAAAAATGTATTTATGTTTATTATTGAATACTTTCATTACTGCTTATTATTGTATCAAGTTTTTAGTTTCGTTTAATTAATAGTGTAGTGAGTAGCTTTTTTAATTTTAATTTTACTTGTTTAAATATGCCACAAAACCAAGTTTATCTAGTAGAACCTATAAATTAACAAATTACTGGAAGTAAATTACCCTCTACAAAAAATTGTTTAAGTGTGATATGTTAGAATTTAAAAGTTGTACAATTAAACTTTTATGAAAGTGCGGCGCTTTATGGGTTATTATCAAGAATTTTTGAAACTTGTAATTATATTTTTGGGTGGTGTTCCTTCAAAGGGAAATTCTTTTCGATAACCTTATCATATTATTCAGCCAAATGGATGGCTAAGGCAATCTATTATTTAAAAATATTTTAGTTTAAAAAATAATTTTAATTAAATAGCAGAGATGAAACATCCTTAATAGATATTTGTTGTTTTATAGTCAAATGTTACATCCAAACTTGGTTTTCTTCTACCAACGCAATAGAAGCTTCCCTCAATGATATACTATTTCTTCAAAAATTAGAAGCCTATAAATCACAAAATAAAAAAATTGCAGACTTCAAAAAAATAATTAACTATTTATGGTATTTAAATCCAGAATGTATTACATTTTACTTGTTTGATGACCGTATAGATTATACAAAACACAAAATGATTGAAAAAATTTTAAGCAGTATTGATAACAAAGATAATGATGAGGAAGAAACTGATCTAAAAAAAACAAATTATCGATTAATTAAGATGATGTCCCCAATTTTCTTAAAAAAGACCTATCAACTTATTTGATAAATATCAAATCAATTGGATTGTTTAAGTGATTTTGAATTTTAAATAAATTTTTTAACCATTGATCTAGCTTACTGGAAGTATCAACAGAATTATAAAATAGGAAAGTAAATAATAAAGTTATTGAAAATAGTAAATGACAAAGCATAGAGGGTAGTCAAGTTAATAGAGGAATATAATAACAAATACATCAGAGACGAAGAACAAAAACAGTTTTTATTGCAAGTAAATAATTTAATAATTTTCATTTATACGACATAATTGACTATATAGGGCCTATAATATATATTATTATTATTGGTGTATTTCGCATCAATTTTTTTTCCTTATACGAATTTATTCATATTAAATTATTTATTTTTATTAATTTATCCATTTATCATCCACATTTATCATTTTAATTACTTTTCTTTTTTTTTCTTTTTGGTATATTACATGTTGTTATTTTAAAGACTAATTGACAAAAATTAGTCAATACATTAGTTTATTATACGACTGAACTAATCTAGAGGATAATATATAAAAAATATGTACTTATATAAATAAAGAGCATTCTAATAAAGGATGATTATTAAAAGTAAGGAAACAGGTTTTTACTGTGCTCATTGTTTCTAACAATAAACCTGTTTCCTTACTTACTAAACACTCTGTAGATAAGGCAATTACATTATACAAAAAGCACAACAATGACCGGCTGTGAACACTGATAAAGTGATATCAATTTTATTGTAAGAAATAGTTATTTTATGTTATCTTATATATATATATATATTTATACAGAATATAATAATGGTTAATAATACAAGATGAATTCTTTATACATACCTTACATGTACATTCAGAGCTACATTCTTTATTTTTTTTACTCTAAATATTAGAATTGAAAAATTACAGTTTTGTAGATGAAAATTTCCTTAATTTGAAATATATAATTCAAATTTTTAATAGATAATTTATAATGTATTAAACAGGGGTTGGCCTGATCTAGTGAGTAGAATCATGTTTTGATACACGAGGTCTCAATTCAATCTCCAGGGTGCCAAGTACATTGTTCTTATTACTTTCTCATTTAAGTTGTCTGGTCTCTAATATAAGACGGCCATAATACCTTCTCGTTCATAATTGGCTTAATTGAGAACTATCTTTGACTCCCTAAACATGTGAAAGAGAACTACCACTCTCTATAGCATGTTAAGTTCGGAAAATTGAAGGATATAAAACTGATCATTTATATTTATAATGTATTAAACATGATAGCCAATGTCTTATACTGTTACTCTATTATTTATTTTTTAGATAGTAAACTAATTTATTTAAACATTGAAACTTATTAAATAAATTACTTCAGACATACTTTACGAGAAGATTCAGAACTAGATTCTTTCTTTTCATTGCTCTAAAATAAAATAACAAATACGCTGTTTGATAAAGTTAATAAATTATTTTCATATTATTATCATCCTAACCGTAATTTGTTATATCTAAGTTTTAATAATAATTAAATAAATTTGTCAGACATACTTTACGAGAAGATTCAGAACTAAATTTTTTCTTTTCATTGCTCTAAAATAAAATAACAAATACGGTGTTTGATAAAGTTAATAAATTATTTTCATATTATTATATCATCCCAACCGTAATTTTTTATATCTAAGTTTTAATATTAATTAAATAAATTTGTCAGACATACTTTACGAGAAGATTCAGAACTAGATTTTTTCTTTTCATTGCTCTAAAATAAAATAACAAATACGGTGTTTGATAAAGTTAACAAATTTTTTTTATATTATTATCATCCCAACCGTAATTTGTTATATCTAAGTTTTAATAATAATTAAATAAATTATTTCATACATACTTTACGAGAAGATTCAGAACTAAATTCTTTCTTTTCATTGCTCTAAATCATCAAAATCAAATAACGATGTAGAATAGAGATAAATAGCCATTTTAGTTTATAATTAACTAATACGGTTTTTTTTTTGAAGTTATATTTAAATAAATAACTTTATACATACTTTAGAATCAAAATGTTTGCTAGAGTAATTCTAAAAATATGGATATAATATTACAATATTTGATTCGTATTTCTACATCTCAAATATTGAAATTAAATAAGAAGTTCAAAACTGGTTAAGTGGTTTAAAGGCTACAAGTTAAAAACGCTGGTAATTCAAGCGAATCGTACCATATTGTACTTTTCTCTTTTAACTCTAATAATTATTTTTGGATCATTTATATAATATTATAATTTTAATTAAAGACAACTGATTTTTTTTCTATAAAATACAAACAAATATTTCAATTCCGATTGTCTTTTTGAAAGAATCAAAATTTGCTATCTTTGCATTTTAACACGCTTAAATGAAACAATAAACAATGTTTCAATTATACAAAGTTGTGTAGTTTTCACTATACTTAAATTTCAATTCTTTCAATTAGTTAAATTTTGTTTCCAAACAGAATATTAATATTCAATTCTATTTATGTATAATACTTTTAATTGTTATTAGTTATTCCTGTTAATAATAGCAGATTTGAAACAGTATAGTTTTTGAGTCTTCAGGGCTACAAATTTTTACTTACTATTATTCTTTGGAGCAAATTTTTTTTATGTTCGATGTCCTAAAAAAATCTTTTATAAATAACATTATAAGAATAATCATCTTCTATGTGTATTAGGATAGTCTCTAAATAACACATGATTTATATTAGTCATTAATTGACTCTTAATAGTATAAAAACCGTTATTTTTCAGATTTTATTTTACTCACTCAGTCAGATTATTTACACATAAAATTTATATTATTTATAATTTTTTTCAAAAAAAAATTTACCAAATCCAATGTTAAGATTTAAAAATTATTATACAAAAACCACCTAATATTTAATTTAAATGTTTTAATAAAGAAAATATTTGGAACAATTGTGTATAAATGCTACCATCAATTTCAATGTATTATTAAATGTAAATTATTCACTTGAATGTCTTCAGGTTGGTGTGCTTCTAATGATGGATCCTAAAATAATATATTTATAAATAAGCTATATTTTAAAGTTGTTTTGTTGATCCCTAGCTCAATTAATATACATATTATTATTGCAGATTTTTATTTTTGGTACTCACATCAGAAAAAAAAATTGTTCATTACAATGATGGTGAAGATTTAAAGGGTTATTTAAAATTATATCCTTCGAAAATTTTACTTAGTCGATAATAGAAAAGCATTTACTTTTATTGGTACATATTCAAGCATGGTCTTGATTCCACTTCCGTATTTATGTATAATCATCGGTTTATCAAGGATAGTAAATTGATAACCAATACTCGAACATTTTTATTTTATTAAAAAATTATGTAATCATGCTAATAATTTACTTACTACATCTATTACAACATCGTAATGGTATTCGTGATTAATCAAGTATATACATTTTTCACCTTCATCTTTGCTGATAACACCGTTTTTACTGATAAAGTGCCATCCTGGTAAAGGGTCTGATGAGTATACGTATATTGATGTATCTAAATATTCAGCTGCCGTAGCTACTTCAGGTGATTCAGCAAACTCTTCTATATTAGATAATTTTTGATTATTTGAAAAAATGAATAAAATAATGGTTGTGTGAAATTAAATTCTATTACTAAACACCATAACTAAATTAATATAGCTGAAGCCGTAATAAGACCATTTGACATAGAATTATCTGCTTACGAAAAGTTTAAATTATTAACAATGATTTTGTAAAAATTAATTAAATTTGATTATTATTCATATTTAAACGGTTATCATGCAAATGTGGACAATTCAATTTCAGATATTATTATTTTAAACGGGTTAAAAGATTTTATAGCTAAATTTAATGCTTAGCCAATGGTAAAAATTAATATGATTATTCTTTATTAAATGATCATCAAATCAAATTAGGTAGAAACTATTCGTTATTATATATGACATATTACGTCTTCTTAATATTCTTAAAAAATTGCATTATGACTTGTTCTCCTTATATGAACTTCTTTCATTCATGAACATCGGTTGTTGATGTTCATCTAACTAAAATAACGATTATAGCTATTATAATTTCTCACTCGAATTGTACATCTTTTCAATACGTGACAAACGTTCATCTTCCTTAGTCATTATTTTAAAATTCTTTGAAACAGTCATGAACTTAAAAAAATATATATAACCATAAATATGATAATATATACTCATAACTGGAGTATAAATATTTTACATCGACAATTTTATCACGTAATACTTGACCATAATCAGATGACCCCGTTATCCAATAAGAAAGTGCACTGAAAAAACAATTTCCATCTCCAGGAATTTCCACAGGATTTTTTGGAACATTTCGATATAATGTGGAAACTTTTTCGACACATACTTTTATTAAAGGAAGTTTTAAATTTTCGCACCAAACATACTGCCATTTCTCATCAACAGGCCAAAAACGAGGTTTATCAATTTTACTTTTCTAGAAAAAAAAGTTGAATATTAAAAAAAAATTAATGCCCTTTTAATTTTTTATTGTTTTTGTTTTATAGTTTAGTTTTTCTATTTAATTGTATTAATACATATTTGGTATGCACCAGAATTTATTACTCAATATTTTTTTTAGCAATAAATAACTAATTGAAAAACTTTTAGCCTCAATGCGAATTTGAAAAGGTATTAGTTTTACTATGATGTGTTTTTTTTTGTGTCTGTTATCACTTATTCTGAGCTCTCACCGATTTCATTCAACGATACGTCAAAAGATCACAAATCGTAACTAGTGGAAGACATTACTCTAAAAAATTGTCATAACTTTTTTAAAAATAACCAAATCAATATAATTTGTTTTTATATAGATCCATGATATTTATTAAATTTTTAAAAAATATGGATCAATACAATTTTTTCATGAGAAGTAATATTTATATCCCTTTTTCATTCGACATACTGTTTTTTTTATTAATATTAATAAGGAAATAGTAGATCGTATAGCTTTTGGAATAATCCACCAATTTTTTAAAATTAAACACTATCTAAAGATTTGCATCGAAGCGTTTATTTTTTTATAGTGATTTTAATCACTTTCAGATATCATTATACATGATCCAACTATGCCACGTCACCACTGTGCCGCGACTCCCCTGTGCTGGATTTTGTTATTATTGAGGCCAAATGCAAAACCCTAATTGCAGATTTTAAATCATCTCATTGTGCTTGGTTTTTAGCTTCGATGCGAAGATGAGAAGGTATTGGTTTTACTAAGATGTGTTTATTTTTATTTTTTTTTTTTGTGTCTGTTACCACTTTTTCTCAGCTCTCACCGAACGGATTTCTTTCAACGATACGTCAAAAGATCACAAATCGTATCTAGTCGAAGACATTACCCTTCAAAATTGAAAAAATTTCCCTCGTTCCCCGTAAATGGGGGAAACCTCCAAAAAAATTACAAATTTAAAAATCGCTAATTTTCGAAATTTTTTCAATTTTTTTTACTAAAAAATGCTGTAACTTTTTCAAAAATGAACATATCAATATAATTTTTTTTTATATAGATGCTTGATGTCTTTACCTATCATTTGGTATATTTTTTTTGTAAATCTGACACTTAACCTGCCCACAGGGGGGGATTTAAAATGACAACTTTTTCACAAAAAATTAACTTTTTCAACTTAACTTTTGAAAATGTTCCGGAAGGTCTGACACTTTTATATATATCTTAAATTAAAGCTAATGTAATATACTTTAATTTGAAAAAAAAAAATTTGACCTCTGGACTTGTCTTCGTGGTGAAAGTTGACATCAAAGTTAATAAAAAATTACGATTTTTGTAAAATAATTTTTTTTTATATTTTTAACTTAATAATGCTCTAACTTTTTCAAAAATGAACATATCAATATAATTTTTTTTTATATAGATGCTTGATGTCTTTACTTATCATTTGGTATATTTTTTTTGTAAATCTGACACTTAACCTGCCCACAGGGGGGGATTTAAAATGACAACTTTTTCACAAAAAATTAACTTTTTCAACTTAACTTTTGAAAATGTTCCGGAAGGTCTGACACTTTTATATGTATCTTAAATTGAAGCTTATGTAATATACTTTAATTTGAAAAAAAAAAATTTGACCTCTGGACTTGTCTTCATGGCGAAAAAGGCTACCAAAGTTAATAAAAAATTACGATTTTTTTAAAATAATTTTTTTTTATATTTTTAACTTAATAATCTATAACTTATTGAAAAGTTTATGGATCCACACAATTTTTTTATGACAAATAATATTTTTTAATAAACCCTTTTTCATTCGACATACTTTATCTTAATCGAGATATTAATAAGGAACCAGCAGATCAAGTAGCTTTTGGAATAAAACACCAATTTTTTTAAAATTAAACACTATCTAAAGATTTGCATCGAAGCGTTTATTTTTGATAGTGATTTTAATCACTGTCAGATATCATTATACTTGATCCAACTATACCACGTCACAACTGTGCCGCGACCCCCCTGTGCTGGGTTTTTTTTTTTTTTGAATATAGTGGATGAAAACTTTTAAAACTTCTCCAATGATGGTAATAAAAATCTCTAATCTTATACACTGTTTAGTCACATAATAATAATAATAATAAATAGTTGAAAAAGTTTAATGCAAAAGTTTTACTTTTGAAAAATAGCTGTTTATGAAATTATAATAAGTTTTTATTTTACTTATTCAATTACATATCCTTAAATTTATATATAAAAAACCCAGCACAGGGGGGTCGCGGCACAGTGGTGACGTGGCATAGTTGGATCAAGTATAATGATATCTGACAGTGATTAAAATCACTATAAAAAAAAAACGCTTCGATGCAAATCTTTAGATAGTGTTTAATTTTAAAAAAATTGGTGTTTTATTCCAAAAGCTACTTGATCTGCTGGTTCCTTATTAATATATCGATTAAGATAAAGTATGTCGAATGAAAAAGGGTTTATTAAAAAATATTATTTCTAATAAAAAAATTGTGTAGATCCATAAACTTTTCAATAAGTATAGCATTATAAAGTTAAATATAATATAAATAATAAAATCGAGAATTTTCACACGAAAATATCATTCGGTTGCCATTTTCGCCGTGAAGACAAGTCCAGAGGTCAAATTTTTTTTTTTCAAATTAAAGTATATTACATTAGCTTTAATTTAAGATATATATAAAAGTGTCAGACCTTCCGGAACACTTTCAAAAGTTAAGTTGAAAAAGTTCTACTTTCTATATGCATTTTTTATATTTGAAGCCCCCCCATATATAGGGAAATAGTCTGATTTAAAAAAAAAGTATATCCAATGAAAGATGTATATAAATACTACTTCTCATGAAAAAATTGTATTGATCCATACATTTTTTAAAAAGTTATAGCACTTTAAAGTAAAAAATGTAAATTATAAAATCGAAAATTTTCACACAAAAATAGCATTCGGTAGCCGTTTTCACCATGAAGACAAGTCCAGAGGTCAAATTTTTTTTTTTCAAATTAAAGTACATTACATTAGCTTTAATTTAAGATATATATAAAAGTGTCAGACCTTCCGGAACATTTTCAAAAGTTAAGTTGAAAAAGTTAATTTTTTGTGAAAAAGTTGTCATTTTAAATCCCCCCCTGTGGGCAGGTTAAGTGTCAGATTTACAAAAAAAATATACCAAATGATAGGTAAAGACATCAAGCATCTATATAAAAAAAAATTATATTGATATGTTCATTTTTGAAAAAGTTACGGCAGTTTTTAGTAAAAAAAATTGAAAAAATTTAGAAAATTAGCGATTTTTAAATTTGTAATTTTTTTGGAGGTTTCCCCCATTTACGGGGAACGAGGGAAATTTTTTCAATTTTGAAGGGTAATGTCTTCAACTAGATACGATTTGTGATCTTTTGACGTATCGTTAAAAAAAAAAAAAAAAAAAACACATCTTAGTAAAACCAATACCTTCTCAGCTTCGCATCGAAACTAAAATATTTTTTTGATTCATTCATTTTCAAAAATGCCTTAGACTTTTAATTAAATTAATTTTAAAGATGTTAAAGTTTAGTGATTTAAATAACTGAAATTTTTTGCAGGGTTGTTAAAGAATAAATCTGTTTAAAAAATGAATTTGAAATAATTTAAAACGTTTAAACCTCCCATAAGACCAGAGACATTTTTGATGTTATAAACAAGTGTTTGTTTAAATTTTTGGTGTTTTAAATTAATAAAATTTTTAATATATTTTTAATTTTAAGTAATATTAGCCACAAGTGATCAATTTTTATTATAACAGTGTACTGTTTAAATTGTAACAACCCTGATTTTTTGTGGTATCTCCTCCTTTTTCCGAGATCTAGGGAATTTTTTCAATTTAAAGTGTAATGTCTGTTGGGTAGAGTGTGGCACTCGCGTATGATCGGTTCGAACGTGTTAATGATTCGTCCGGTCATCGTTACTTCCTCAGCGAGCGACACATCCTCTTTGGTACGTAAACAGTACACTCGTTCTCGCGACTACGATCTAATAGTCGTTCCTCAACAATTAAGTAGTGCGTTATCTTCTCTCGTATTCACAGCAAACGCCTCCGCGTGTTTGTGCTATTGATCGGCCATAGTTCGCCATATCTTAATTGTTTATGCTCATACGGTTGCGTCTTACATGTTTTGTACTGTATATCCGTGTAAAATAATCCTTCTCGCATATTACGAGTTAGTGGCATCGTTCACGTCGTCATCAACGCTCACATACAGTCCACACTCACCACCATTAATTACCATCTTAACTTATACAGCTAAGTGTTTAATTGTTTGTCTTATTTATTTTGTATATTATCTATTTTGTTCATGGCCGCTTTGTCGGTCAGTATAATATGTAAGCTATTTCATTTGCAGAACTGTAATATATAATTCATAATTTATACAATCATAAGCAGGTGTACCTATTTATTATCCCCTCTTATTTCCGCATTTTGATTTCAACAAAATAAACAACACCATCGCACAGTAATAGGCCATTCCCCTTTATTATTAAGGGGCTGCTTGTTACAATGTCTTTAAATAATTACAATTTGTTATCTTTTAATGTGTCGTTCAATAAAATCGGTCCAGCGAGAGCAGTGAAAAAGTAATAATAGACAATAAATAATAATAATCACATTATAGTAAAATTAATATCTTCTCAGTTTCACATCGAAATTAAAATTAAAAACTAATTTATAATACATACATGTTTTGTATAAAAACTTACAAAACGATCTCTTTAATTTAAGATAGCACTCTTATAATTGAACTAAATTTAAATACTCTTGTCTTCAAAAATGTATATGCTTTGAAATATATTATTTTGATGACTATTTTTATTCTTAATGATTCGACTTTTTATAAATTTGAGTAATGTACAGTATCATCTGTTTAAACTTTAATACATTTTTTTTCAATAAAACTAACAATGCTTTAAACTTTTTAATGGTAAATTATAATATAATTTTTTTCAACTGCTTTAATAATAGTATAATTCTTTTTTATAAAATTTAATTTTGAACAGAGAAAAAAATAAGCTTTTGTTCTATTAAAATTTTAAAAGAATGTATTAAAAATGTATGTATTGTTCTCAGATAAGAAATTATTAAATGAATTTGTAAAAAAATTTTTGAAAGCTAAATACTAAGATCCATTTTGTAAAATTTAAATGCTGTATAATTCGCTAAAAAAATTGTTTTATTATTTTTTTATAGTTTACATACTATCTCGATGATATGAAACACTTCTTGTGATGATTGTTTAAATATAAAATTATAGTGAGCTGATTTGGATAAAATTACTTCACAATTCATTAAATATAAATTTAACAAATTACTTAAAACATTCTTTATGCGTACATTTAAAAAAAAAATCAAATTATACCGATTTTTTTTATCAAATTTACACAGTTCATGTTTATAACGTTATAATTAAATGTAATGTATTTATTTAATACAACACAGAATATTAAGTAAAAAATATTTATATATATTTTGGTATTTTTAACTAAAAATGCATTTCTAAGATTTTTTAATATAATAAATAATATTCTTACTGTTACTGATTTGCTACTTTTAAAGCAATAAACATTTGAAATCAAAACAATAATCGTACTTAATTTTAATAAAATATTATACGTAGTTAATAACGACATTTTTTTATGATCTTTTAAACGCTTAAATAAAAGAAAACGATGTATCTTAAACATTACATTTATATATAATATTATGCAAGGAAATTTGAATGTTTTATTTTAAACTATAGGCTTTATTGTTTTAGCTACTTTTTTAACATGTTTTATGTCTCTATAATATTAAAAAAAATGAATTGATTTATTTAAATAGTTATAGTTTAATTTTTTATATCGTTATGTTTTAAAGTAAAAAGAAATGAAATTAATTTTGTTATAAATTGTTTTTTACGAAATTGAGTTATATTTCTTAGTTGCTCCATTTAGAATCAAAAGAGTAAAGTAGTCTAATTATATAAATTAAGGCAATGTCCAAAAATAATAACATTTCAAAAATGTATTCTAATTTATTAAAAAATGTTTAAACATATTTTAATTATAAATTTACTTTTTAAGTGCGAGAAGATCATCTATAAAATTTATATAATGCTACCTTAAGAGCATGAACAAATATATTCAAAAGTTCAATTATATAGGAGATTAAAATATACGATGGCCAAAAAAAAAAACAAAGTTAATACAACATTTATAAAGAATATGAAGGATCTTTTCCTTATTATCCAACTTTTTAGAGAAATGTGACTTTTTGCATTACCTTAGATTAAATTTTAGATTATAAAACTGTGATAGTGTAGTAGTCTGAAAGATCTTGTATTTCTAATTAGTAGTAGTTTTCCTGAGAATTATCCCAGATAGCAAATTTGTAATGATAATAATTAATATTTTTATTTTAGTACAATTATAATAAAAATTATATAAAAATATTTGTGTAATATTATAGTTATACTATCATATAAATTAGAATATATTATAATTATTATAAGATTACAAATATATTATTATTTATTTATTGAGTTTTATTATATTATTATTATTTTTTTGTCTTTTTCTTTATCTGGTCCTTACTCTTGAATACTCTTGAAGAATTTTCACCACTATATTTTTTTTGTACTCTAATAAAAATAATATAATTTGTTTATTATAAGAACGTTACTTCAATAATAATTCCGTATTAATTTACTATTTTATAAACATTATGGTATTGTTAAAAACTATAAATCTACCATCTACCCTATGTATATTCTATATAATTTAGTAATATTAGTGTGTTACAAGTAACAGGACGTTCCGTTAATACACATTGTTATCATCTAACCTACCCTTATAAACATTTGTCGTCAAAGATTAATACTACTGGTCAATTATGTCTTGTGTTAAATGCAATCTACATTATTGATAAATTCTAATTGACTTTTAAATTTTTAAAAATATTTTCAACCATCATAACGTCTTTTGTGTAATTAGTTCTTTTTTTTTTTTTGCATTTTTCTGTTACATTGATGTTTTAGTTTATACTGCTATATTTTTTAATTTACTCAGTACTATCTCAGATGAGTTATTTATTATTAAATAACTTATTGTTAAAAACAAAATTTAATAATAATTGTGTATTTAATTGCATTTTTACATCAATGAACTTATCGCATTTAAATAATGTAAGGTTTCTATGATATTCTAAATGAGATATTTATTAAATTTTTCTCTTAAAATGTTTTTATATATTATACTTTTTTTTTAAATTTTAGAAAATACTTCAATTATTATTATTATTAATAAATTAGTTTAAATTATTTATAATCTTTTATGGGTAATATTATTTTTAATTTGTATTTAAGACTAATACTTTAAGAAATTATATAAAAATTACATTATTTAACTAACTCAAAAAGAAAGATAAAAATAATAGTAGCAAGTAGTAGTTGGGTTGGAGTTACTATTTACTGTTAAATAAATTAAAATGTTTAATAGTTTAAATAGGGGCGTGGTGTGTCGCGGAGATAACCCAAGTTGTTGATAAAACTCTAGTGTTAAGTCGCGCCTACCACCGTAGGTGAACGGATGGGGTACCATGCGTGCGCTTCTGCGGTGGCGAAAAGCACCATGTTTCCAGTGCAGAAGTCAACGGAAAACCACTGCACTTAAATTTCAACAGGATATACCAATCCAGGTAGTATTAATTACCTAACGGTTATAAAAAAAAATAAAAAAATAATAATATCTCTCAGGGTATGAGTACGAGAACTAGAAAGAATGATTAAAAGAAATTATAGAAAAATATATTAATCTTTATTTATCAATATAAAAATTATTATGATTAATTTTCAAGTTCTTTAACATCAATAATGCCACGAATTCTGAAGGTTATAAATGATAGTTGGGATAGAGTGTCTACCCAGAGTAGTATGGCTCTTTAATAATATATAATATAGTAACTTTGAACCTTATTATTTTAATTAATGCTATATCTATGCTATATTAATATTTCTAGTGTGTTTGGAAATGAATTTAAGTCGTCTCATTTTATGAATTAAATTTGAGTGTGACTGTTCACTGCTTGCATATGAATTATATAAATTAAATTAATGAGTTTCGAGGGTGTACTGAGAGAATGCTCACTATACGGCGATTAAAGAGAATAATGAGAGAGGTTTAACCCTTTTTTTTTTTTTGTCTCTTTTATAATCTTATTTTGTCAATTTTTTATATAGAGGTATCAGAAACGCTATTATTATATCCTTATTAAATTGATTTGCGTTATTTATTACATATTATCTTATCAAATGAATACACAATTTTGAACAATGATTCATTATTGCATTACAATATTGATATATTTTTGATAACTTATACTATTATTTATGTGAATTTTAACATTTATATGAAAGTTTAGACATATAATATAGTTTATTGCTTAACAGATATTAATAATGAGGTTACCCATATGTAACATGTATGAAATAGTTCTTACTCGACAAATAATACTTATAATGACATTATATTTCATTGCTTATCAGATAAGTATCGTAATGAGAGTTTAATATATCCATAACACTAATGAGGAAATTTAATAAAATAACTTTAACAAAATTAAAATATTTTAAACCTTTTAATCGTTTATGAATTATCATTATTTTTTCTATTAGCATTTACTACTTAACACCACTGCTCCCATTTCTTTAACCAGTTGCTACAAAATAGAACTACAGGCACTTTAACCTCATCGTTATATTCAGACCTTACATTGCAAGTGCGATATTTGTATAATTTTGTTGAACTTATTTTATTGTATCTCACCAAACCGATTTCTTTCAACCATTTGTTAAGATATCACAAATTGTATATAGTTGATGGCATTGCCCTTTTAAATTGAAAAAATTCTCTCGTTTCCTGTACATGGTGAAAATCCATCAAAATATTACAATTTTTGAAATGTGTAAATTTTGACATTTTTTTCATTTTTCCTCTTAAAACAGCCATAAATTAAAAAATTAGAACGTACCAAAATAATTTTTTTTTAAATAGAAATCTTAGGTATTTTCCTTTTATTTAATATCATTTTTTCAAATTCTGACCCTTTTCTAACCCACAGGGTGGATTCAAAATAGCAACTTTTTCACAAAATTCAATGTTTTCAACTTAACTTTTGAAAATGTTCCGGAAATGTTGAGTCATTTAAACTTCAATCATCATCAATTAAAGGCATCTGTTTGATGCCAAGTTCTTCATTGAAACAAAAGACATACAGTTCGTGGGTTCCAGGATATTTTCAAAATATTTTTTTCTTAGGCGTCCTCTTAGATTCTTTCCAGTTAATTTTCCTTCCTTTTATGTTATATACTATAAATTAACAAAAAAAATCGTCCCGACGTCTTATCATCAATGCGCAAATGGCTTTCATAGTTAAATCACATAATATTCTTGTGTTTAAATTTTTTTTGACCTCAAGTAATTTTAATTAAGGTGAGGAAAATGAAGAAGAAGAAGTTAATTTTAAAATACCTTACAAGGTTTTGCCATAGTAATGAGTCTACCAATTTTTATAAAATTTACATGAATCTAACTTCCATTAAATATAAATTTAAACTTATTTTGATTATTATACCTCCTGAAAGTTAAAGAAATACGACTTTGAATTTTTAAACTAGCTTAAAGTTTTTTTTATCTACTGACTCATGTAATGCACTAGTGGCTGCGTTGTGTTATACAGTTTTATACACTTGGGGTACGAAGTTCGAACTTCGTCAGTCGAAAGTCGACTTTTTATACATATTTGTCTTAATTCTTTTTTGAGGTGAAAAATAAATTCATAATAAATAAAAGTCAATCAAAATATTCAATGAATGTCACTGACCCTATCACTGTATTCTCCCCTTATAAGAAGGAATTTAATTAATTTATATTAAAATATTTTACTATTTGGTATTTGTGTCTGTCAATAATTTTTTTTTCATTTAATAGGAGTATAAAATTCGTTTTTATATTGAATACAGAGTAAAATCATTAAATCGAAATATTTTTTAATGATCATAAACCTATACATACTTTACTAGAGCAAATTATTCAATATGATTTCAGGTCTGAAATTAGATTTTTTCTATTACATCATTTTTGAGAATATTACTAATAAGATAGCAACTATTAAGAAAAAAATTTTTTTATTAAGTTATTATTAATTTTTAAAAATAATCAATGCAAAATGCCATTTTTTTTTAACCATATAAGTTAATTTTTATGAAAGTTTATAATTTAAAAATGTTGAACTTTTAAACACATTTTAACTCAACTTGGAAGTTTAGAATTTATATCATTAAATAGAAAATTTAATGAAAAATAAAAAAATGTATTTTTCAGATTATATATGTGAGCAAGAAATTATTTTTTTGTATTTTTATTATAATAAATCATTTTAACAGTCTTAGTAATCATTTCTATGTAACTCTGGTGTTTAAATAGATACTACAAATGAAATATTCATAACTATATTCCGTAAAGTTATATTCATAGTGTTCTATAATACACTAATATTCAAAAATATATTGTGCCAACTTTTCATTAACGATTTCGTCCGTTGTTTTGTTGTTGAATTCCTTTTTAGCCTATATTTTTTTGAGTTATTTATTTATATGTTAATATACGTTTTTAAATAATTATTAATAAC